ACAATTTTACAGCATAGTGAACAGGAGTACTGGCTCGGTATTGACAATGGCAGGACTAAAGTCCGGTTCTACTAGCTACTAATTCAGCTATGTCATTTCTCTATACTTCAGTATTGTCTTCTGAAAAATGGAGACAGTAGTACCCAGTTCAAATGTTTACTGTGAAAGTTAAATGTGTTAATATATTGTCTTTCTTGTTATTTTTGTTTGGTGCTGGGAATGGAAGCTAAGACCTCATACATAATATGCTAAGCACAGACCAACTTGTGATTCTACCACTGAGCTACAACCTCAGCTAATAGATATATATATAGATACTATATATAATAATATATATAATAATTATATATAATAATAATAGAGTATATTATATATATATATATATATACTTAGTTGTAGATGGACATAATACCTTTATTTATTTTATGTGGTGCTAAGGATTGAATCCAGTGCCTCAAATATGCTGGGTAAGCTCTCTACCACTAAGCTACAACCCCTTTGTATGTGGCATGTTATTTTAAGTAGAACATTCACCCCTTCTCAAAGTTTATATTAGAATTACCTGGAGACCTATAAAATAGAGGACCAAGCTTAAGAAGTGCAGGACCTGGGCCCTTATTATTATTGTCCCCCCAAATTCCCAAGGTGGTAGACATCCAGGTACAAGAATCACTGAACTGCAGAACCAGAGGATCTAGCCCCCCATAGGCTCATAATATCAACAGAGCTACAACTGATATGCTTTGCATACATATTTATTACATCAATACAGATTACTTTAACTGGGAGTGTCTGTCCATGTCAGAAGTATGTTCATTTTTAAGACTTTTGAGTCTGCCAAAGCAGAGTGGCTTAAAGTCTTTTATCAAATAATCCTGTCACTTAATACTCAACTTATCAAGATGAAAACTCTGATCCAATTAAGCTCAACTGCCTCACTTAGTTTTTGCTCTTTCTTTCTCCATGTGCCTGCAAACATAGATATAGTTCATAAAATCTCAAAGTTTATAGAAAACTTGAGGATGCCTTGCCCAACTCCTTCAGCACATCAACTCCTATACACTAGAATCCCCAACTGGACACTAACAGTAAATAAAGACAGCCTACCAAACAAAACAACTCATTTTATTTTTAGACCTTAAAAAGGAAATTTCTCTTAAAAGATAGTTGAAATCTGACTCTAACTTCTACCCATTGATCCTGGTTCTTTCTAGACAGATCAAACCTGATCCTTCAGCGCGACAGACTACCAAATACTTCAAGATGGTTGTCATTTCTTAAAGGAGCTTCTCTCAAACATCCTTTGTTTTCTACATGTCCTTATTCCCATTCCTCCCAGGATGAAAATCCTCTGGCTCTACTCTACAGTTAGTAATTCTTGTACCTGGGTGTCTACCACCTTGGGAATTCGTGAGGAAAAAATAATAATAGGGGCCCAGGTCCTACACTTCTTAAGCTTGGGCCTCTTTTTTAAAGGTTTCCAAGTAATTAATTCTAATATAAACTTTGAGAAGGGGTGCAAGGTTCTACTTAAAATAACATGCCACATACAAAGGTGGCAGTATCCTACTTGCAACACAACCAGTATAAAGTACAGTGGGTTAACACTTCCTATAAGCTGTTCTGTCAATCTAAAATTTCTTCACTTTTTTAAAAAATTAAACAATAGCGTTGATTCACACTAAACACACAGTTAAAATTGTGAAGTCTTTCTCACGTTGTCTATTTGTGCAAGAGAACTTGGGGCCCTAACTACAGCCTTTACAATTATTCCTATTAAAAAAATAAAGCCAGATGTGGTGGCACATGCCTGTATTCCCAACCACTCCAAGGGTGAAGCAGGGGACCACAAGTTCAAGGTCAGCCTCAGCAATATAGCCAAGATCCTGTCTCAAAAATACATTTTTTAAAAAGGAGGGAAGGCGGGGGCAGAGGTAGCTCGGTAGTAGACCACTTGAGTCATGCACAAACAAGGTCATGGGTCTCAAGTACTATAAAAATGGTAAGCGAAGTAGAGTTGAATTTTAAATATCTGTATCTATATCCCTACATATGGATTTATCTTTAGAGGAGAAATCAATTCAAATTTAAGTCTCTACACTTATGGATATACTCTGCCCAAATAAAGGAGCAACGGCTGAACTGACAGCTAATTGCACCAAAACATTTCTGTACAGAGCAATGTAGTGTTTGTAGTATGAGAAAACACTAATTAAACACTAATTTCATCTAGCTCTGGATTTACTTTTTAGAGAGTATGGTAGAACTTTTCAGTAAAGTTAACTAAAACACTAATTATCATCGTCCCAAAGTAGACATATTTGTGGTACAGAAATATGACTAAGTGCAAAAGTGTGAACCAAAGGAATGATTTTTGTTAGAAAACTAAATTACTGGGGCTGGGTTGTAGTGGTAGAGCAGTTTGCCTAGAACGTGACAGGCACTGGGTTCGATCCTTAGCACCACATAAAAATAAAACAAAATAAAAGTATTAAAAAAAAAAAAAAAAAAAAAACCCAAACCAACCCAAAAAAAAAAAAATAAAAAAAGGGGGGGGCCTGGAATAAAAAAAAAAACTAAATTATCCTTAGTAAGGTAATTATAATTTACAACTTATTATATATTATAAAGACTTCAATAATAAAGAGTTCAAAGGTTCCCAAAACAATAACTGTTTAAGCAGATGGAAATGCTCATTACTTTGATCATTACGTTGTATACATGTATCCAATTATCACACTGTACTCTCTAAATACTTCCTAAATACGTACATTAAAGAAAAAAAAAAACTAATTTGTCTTGAGTCCAAGATCTTGTTTGGGTTTGGTTTTGTTTGCTTGTTTGTTTTGCAGTGCTGGGGACAGAAACCAGGGTCTCAAGCTTGCCAGGGAAGTATTCTATCAGGGAGCTACATCCCCACCAGCTGGGTTTGTTTTTCAATGTTTGCAAAGTGAGAGGAAAGAGAAGGAGCACAACAGTGAGTTCATCCATACTTGGTACAGGGCCTCATGTACCCTCAAAACTGAATGTGATTTGAAATTTAATACAAAAAGCCAAGGAAGGTTATGGGCACCAGTAATCCCAGAGTCTCAGGAGGCTAAGGCAGGAGAATCACAAGTTCAATGCCAGCCTCAGCAACTTAATAGAGCCCCAAGGAAAACAAGACCCCAAGCCAGTCAAAATAAAATACTTTTAAAAGGGTGGGGTGTTGGGGATGTGGCTCAGTAGTTAAGCACCCTGGGTTCAATCCCCAGTGCAGAAAAAAAATTTTTTTCATATGAAATTTCTGAATTCCTAATAACATGTTTGCTTTACCTGTTTACAAGATACTGGGGGGGGGGTCTACTCTGTAGGAGATGTAGCCTACTATAAAGACTTTTATTTTTAATATTGGAGGAAAAAAAAAAACTAAAATCAAGTAAAATTAACCAAGATTCAACCTACTTTCATAGGAACAGCAAACTATTAAAAATACACCTGACATTTTTTAACAATTACATGAAGAACCACCAGATGCTTCCTGTTGATGGAACAGTACAGACTGACAGATTCAGAGTAGAGTTCACAGAAACAACTGGAAACAAATTTAGTTTCCTTTCCAAACCATTAAAACAAAATGTGATCTTAAAGTTTTACACACTGCACTGTAACTGTCCAGACAGGAAAGTTTCTAAAGATTCAGACAGAAAACTCTAGATGTGATATAGATACATTACACACACAGATTGAACGAAGGTTTTACTCTTTTAAATCTGGAGCTCCCACAGTGCTTTGAAAGTGTCCTATACTCAGATTACAATTACACACTGATTTTCACAAGTACATCTAATGTGGAATTCATGTTTTATTTATGTACATAACTAAAGAAACATATTGGAATTAAAGACAAAGTTTAATCACTCAGAATGAATCTTCAGTGATGATGTGGGGTTGGTAAGGAGAATGAGACTGACATTATTACACTATGTACATGTATGATTCCACTACTGGTGTGCACCATGTACAACCAGAGGAATGAGAAGACGTATTCCACTTGTGTTCAATGTGTCAAAATGCATTCTATTATCATGTATAACTAATTAGGACAAATTAAAAAACAAGAAGGGAGACCAATAGAATAGAAAGAAGGGGATCAGGGATAGGGAGGGGGAAAGAGGAGATACTGGGGAATGAAATTGATCAAATTACACTGTTTCACTGTGTACATAGGAAGAGAAAAAAAATGAATCTCCAGGAGCATATGCAGGTTACATAATCTTTAACTATTATGTTGTTTATGCACCAAAAGCCCAATTGATTTTTTCTGGGACTGGAGAATGAACCCAGGTCCTGGAGCATACTAGGTAAACCCCCTACCCATGACTATAAAGCCCCACCCCTAAATCTCAACTTCTTAAAAAGTTAGACCCCAAGAAAAAAGTACAAGAATCATCCTTATTATCCTGATTTTTAAAATATGCATTGGATAGTATCCTTATATGACTTACACAGTGAAAACAGACAGGAATAACACACTTCTGTGTTAAAAAAGGAGGGAGACAGAAGTGGAGTTTTCCAGATGTTACATGGTACGTTACCACAACCAGCAGTGTTCCATTAATCAAGCATTAAAAAGATTTGCAGAAATACAAAACAATGTCACGCTTGCCTAATATGTCACTGTGTTAACCTGGAATCAGTTTGTTTGTTTGTTTGTTTTAAAAAAAAAAACTTTTTTTTTTTTAAACAAAAACAAGATACAGCCGTCTTCAGTTTCCTTAAATTGAAAGTCTGAGCCTGAAAGTGGAAGTGTCAAAATATGGCAGAAGAAATTTAAACCAAGCTGGGTGGGTTTTTACATGATTTAAAACACGAGCAAAAAAGAATTTCTGAGCACCGACTTCTGCATGATAAATTAAGAGTGAGTTTTTAATTCCGGGATGGCAATCTACAAGGATCATGCACCGACTACATGAAACTTGTTTCCAGATTAAAATTATACTTCAGAAAGTAACACTTGCCTGAATTCAACCAGCAACCCAGTGACCGGAGAGAGAAAATAATTCCACATTATCAAGCCCCCTTCAGAAGTACTGTGCTCTCTGCCCTCCTTTGAACAGATCTCTGCTCGCCACAGTCCAATCAGCTTTGAATTAAAAATTTGTGTACTGAAAACAAGCTTAAAGTGGGAAAACACACAAAGCAGGCCAGTATCATTCCTTTGGTTTCAGTTTTCACGATGCACCCTTGAGACTAGGCACGCTGATTCAACACAGTTGGACAGCTTCAACGAAACTCACTAAATATCACACCGATTAACTGTGCCCAGGCAGAGATGACCTGGCAAAATTCTCAATATCTGTCCCGAATCTGTTCTCATAAGTCCCAGCGGCGAAGTCTCTGGGGCAGAAGTCCCGAACATTCAGAACCACAGGCTTCGTCCCCTCAGGACTCGAGTCCCCGCGGCCGAGGCAGTAGTGACGGCCCTGCCCGGCACCAGCTGAGCTCTCCCGTTAACCCTGTCCAATCCCGCCGCTCCCACCGCGATCCAACAGCCTTCCAGCTCCGCGGGCTCCACAGCACAGCACGACAGGGCCAGTCGGCCCTTCCCGCTCAGTAGAGGCCGGCGGGACCGTCAGGCCGCAGAGACAATGGGGCTGGCGGGGCCGGGGACGGCGGGCGCCGAGGCCGGGCCGCGCCTGCCTCCTTCCCTCTTCCGCCCACTGCCCGCCTCCCAGCGCCCACAGAGTCCCCGCTGCCCCGGCACGACCCCATCGCCGCCCCGGGGCCGCCGCTCAGCAGCGGCTCGGCGGGAAGCGCAGGGGAGGCCGCGGCATGCCAGGGCCGAGGAGGGGGCGGCGGCCGCCACCATGTCTGCCCGCCCCTCCCAGAAGCGGGGTGCCCGGCAGACAAAGCGCGGCGGCGGCGCGGGCGGAGCGGGCGCCCAGGCCGACCCCGTCGACCCCCGCGGAATAAGCGGGTCCGGGAGCCCCGGAAACCCGGCGCCTTAATGCAATAAACAGGAAATCGCGGGGATGATCTGGGTTCCGGGGGAAGTGGAATTATTTTTTACCAGCGAAGAGATCAACTTCCACATCCGGTGGTAACAGGGCCCTACACAGACCCGCACTGACCTGGAAAAGCTTCGGGAGCGGCGACGGGGGAGCAGCAGGAGGTGGTGCGGGGACCCGAGGCGCCTCGTACCCGGCCGGGCTGACGCGGCCCCGCTACACACTAAGCGCTTCAGCTGCACAGGGCGCTATTTTCCGAAAATGCCGCGTCTGGTCGGCGCCCAAAATCCCCACCGAAAAGTCCCCCGTGCTGCGCGCGGAGGGACACATGGTGTGCGAGTGAGTCAAGCTCCCAGCATCCCTCCCGGACCCGGCCCTCGTCAGCCCTTCGCTTGAGGCTTTTTCGCCCCTGCCTTTGTGTGCAGATCCCGCTCCCATCCACTCCCTAACCCCATTCCGGTGGGAGGAAGGGACAAGAGGGTTTGATTTTTTTGTTTTTTAACAGAAGGAAGGAAAATATGCCATTTCTAGCGTTCAGCTACACAAAGAAGGCGGCGGAATGATCCGCTGTCGGCGACCGCAAGTCCCGGCTCGCCTGGCGCCTGCGCGGCAGCGGGGGTGGGAGCTGCGGCGGGCCATGTGCGCGGAATAGCAGCCGGCCCGCACCGCGCCTAGCCGCCTCTTTCCGAGATGGGTAGGAGTTTGGAAACAAGCTGGCGTGTGCTAACCCTAGTATGTCTCCGACAGGACCGTTGAAAGGCGTGGACTGCGGGATCCTTGAGATTTAAGCTTGCCAATTGGACCGCCTAGCAGAATTCTGGGAGACGGAAGGGCAGCCAGGAGGCTAGGATTTACCTTAAAGTGGCCCTAGACTGAACTAGGTAGACTGGGACGGGAGTCGCTGTTGAAGTTCCAGGGCAGGAACGAAGACTGTTTCCACTTCGCATAAACTGAACAGTCAGGTTTATGACGAGGATGTACGTGTTTCTGTAACCTTTTTTGAAAAAAGCGTTCTAATGGTGCCTCATACTTTGTAGACTACAATAATTTGCTCACTGAATTCCCTTGGATTACTTGTCACCTGTCACAGAGGTAGAGATCAATTTTTCTGTGCCTGCAACATAAAGCTTTCTTGCGTTTTATTTTAAAAGCAAGTTTATTCGGAGATGGCGATTTGCAAAGGAAAAGTCTTAAATGTTTATGAGATTTCCAAAGTAACTCAACATACTGATGTGTTTTTTAACAGGGAAGCTCGGGGATCGCTTTCCCAACCTACAAAGAGTGAAACTTTGGCATCCTTGTATCTAGGAGTTGGGAATATCTCAGACAACGCGAAGTTTAGTCCAAAACTGACAAGTTTAAACGGAATTCATATTTCCCACTGTTTTTGTGTGGCCTCAAATAAGTAATTTATCTTCACTTACCCTTTATAATAGTGATGCAATAAAGATTCATAGTCTTGGTATAACTCAGTATTCCTAAATTGGAAGCAGAGCCATATAGGAGCCACAGTCTTTAATATTTTTATTGATAAAACGTAAAGATTTTGATGTCATACTTTTTAATTTTTTTAGTTGTAGATGGACACAATATCTTTCATTTTATTTTTTTATTTTTAAAGAGTGAGAATTTTTTAATATTTTTTTAGTTATCAGCAGACACAACATCTTTCTTTGTTTGTGGTGCTGGGGATCTAACCCAGCCGCAGGCATGCCAGGCAAGCGCGCTACCGCTTGAGCCACATCCCCAGCCCCATCATTTTATTTTTATTTATTTTTATGTGGTGCTAAGGATCGAACCCAGGGTCTCACACGTGCTAGGCCAGCACTCCACCATTGAGCCAAGACCCAAGCCTCAATGTCATGCTTTTCTATAACAGAGTTTGAGTAAACATTCAGTAATGCTACAGAATCTTTTGCCCCCATTGATCTTCTGCTGTAAAATGTAACCGGTAAATAGGCATCATCAGTAGTATGATGAGGGGAAATTGCCGAATACTAGAATTACAGGAGGAGCCCTTTACTAACCTAAAAGGGAGGAATTGAATAGCACTGGAGAAGCTATGAGCTTCAGTAAGTTAATTGAGGAAGGCCTCCTAGACAGAGTTTAGAAAACAAAATACCAAGGAGTTAGATGGATAAAGAAGACAATGCTATTTCAGTAGTATCTAAAGTGTTCCTGTAGAGATCTTGAATGCCATGTGCAGAAATTAGCTTTTAAGAGCAGGAGGGAAATGTTGAATGATCTGTAATAGGAACATTCATGTGATTTAATTTGTGGATGACTAGCATACAAAGTTCAAGACAAGAAAAACAGTTTGAATAAAAATCCAAGAGAATGATGAATTGGAGAGAGAATGGCAAACAGGAGTGAAGGACATGATCAAAGTGGTTATGGAGAGCGTAGAGATTTGGTTGACTCCATAAGGGAATGACTTAAGAGGTAGAATGTCAAAGGTGACTCTCAAGTTTGGCAGTGAAGCACCTAGGAAGATGGTAATATCTTCACTGAGATAAGAAGGGAAGAGGAATATGTTAGGGAAGGACAAAGGTTCTATTTTGATCATGAAGTATTTGAAGTGCCTGTGAGCCAACCAAATAGATAAGCCCAGTCAGCAATTAGGTACTCATTCAACAGTTGTTGGAAAGGCACCCCCACCCTATGCCTGGCACTATTCTACACTCTACATAGGTAAAGCAGCAGTAAGACAAACATCATTCCTCTGATGATGGGGGGGGGGGAACACTATAAAATAGAAACAAAGAAAGACATCCCATAATAAGTTAATGAGAAAAATGCATGATTGGATAAAATATTTCCCTGAGTGAAAGAACAAAATTTTGGTCCTTGATCAGAAATGCCTCATTGAGAAGTTATTCTGTGAGCTCAGACCTAATGGGAAAGAAATTGGGACAGAGGGAATAACAGGGCAAAAGCCCTAAGGTAAAAAGGAGTTATGTTTAGGGAGCAGCAAAGGTGGCAGAAAAAATGTAGTGAAAAAAATTAAAGAGATGGTAAGAGACAAGTCTGCAACTTTTGTAAGATCAAGCCATTGAAGGGTTTTAAGAATGGAGAAGCATGTACTAGGATAGTAACAGAGATGGAGAAAACGGATGTATCACAGATATAGTTTGAGGATTTAACCTGATGTGAAGAGTGAGAGAATAAGAAATCAATAGTGATACCTAGGTTTGGGGCATTGTTGTCTACTGGCCAATAAAAATATAACACTGGCCAATAAAAATATAACAAGCCACATAATTTTATATTAGCCTCATTAAAAAAGTAAAAAGGAATGTGAAATTCTAGTTAAAAAAAGTTTTATTTAACCTAGTTTGTCTCGGTATTTCATTTGTGATCAATATATAAGTTATTAAATATTTTTGGGGACTGGGGATGTGGCTCAAGTGGTAGCGCACTTGCCTAGCATGCATGAGGCACTGGGTTCCATTCTCAGCACTACATAAAAATAAAGATATTGTGTCCACCTAAAACTAAAAAATATTTTTAAAAATTATTAAATATTTTAAAACATTTTACATGCTTTTCTTGTTACTAAGAGTTTGGAATCTTATAACAAAGTATCTCAATATTTGATTTTACAAAATTTACAGTTCAAAATTAACATATCCAACTGGTTTCAACCATAATGAAGTTTTGTGGTATTTGAATCATATCAGTTTTTAAATTTTATTTTAACTTTAGGAATAAAAAATTCAGTTCCTAAATTAGCTAAATTTCAAGAACAGCTAGTCGTTACTATACTAATCAATGCAGTCTAGTAGAACAGAGAATAGCAGAAAGTCTTTTTTAAAAAGTTATTTGGGACCATGATGGAAAGCTTTAGATGACTAGCTAAAGGACTCAGATTTTATCCTAGAAATAAGGTGAGCAGTGTCTATTTTTTGAGCAAGGAACTAAAAATGTGGTATTTAAGGCTAGAAAGCAACCACTAGATGGCCATCTGGTGACTCAGGACCAAGAGCAACCTTTCAGTTGCTTTGACTTCAGGCTAGCAGATTAGAAACTTTTATTTTTTTTGTGCTCTAGACTAGTATAACCAAAAATTTGGCCCATGGGCCAATGTCATCCTTCACAAAAAGTGAAAATTTGAAACACTGTTCTAAAGGTGTTCAGATAAAGGGGTCAAAAGAACCAAATTCCTAGAAGATTTATCTAAATCTAAATGCCTCTTTTTTACTATGGAGATAACCAAATCTATAATAGCTACCATTTATTAATGCCTTTTTTGTGCCAGCCATTTTGCATAGTCTGTTACATATATTGTCTCATCTAATCCTTAAATAATTCTATAAAATATTATTATCCCATTTTTCCTGTGAGGAAACTAAGGCTAAAATGGATTAAGCAACTTGCCTAAAGTCACCAAGCTCATAAATGTTAGGAGCAAGTGTTATAGTTTGTATCAGGAATATTTCCCAAGGCTCATATTTTGGAAGACTTGATCCCTACAGTTAAGAGGTGAGCCTTTGGGGAAGTGGTTGGATCATAAGGTCTTTGAACAATCAATCCATTGAGGAATTCGTAGCTGAATGGACTCTTGGGAAATGGTAGAAACTGTAAGAGGTTAAAATACTTGGAGTGGGTCCCTGGGGATGTGTCCTTGGGGACTGTTATCTTGTCAGCCCCTTCCTCTTTCTCTGCTTCCTGGCTATCGTGAAGCGAGCAGCTTTGCTCTTCCATGCCCCCCTCACCAGGGCATTCTGCCTTACCACAGACCCACAGCAGTGGGACAAAGCATCTGTGTACTAAAACCTGAAATGGCAGGTTATTTTTCTCAGGTATTTTGTTATAGCAACAGAAACCTGATTAACAACAGGATCCTAGTACAGGTCTCTTTCCAAAGCAATATTCCTAGTGTGTGTGTGTGTGTGTGTGTGTGTGTGTGCGCCACTAATGTGTAATGTCTAAGGAGTTCCTTGGCACAAAGACTCGATACATTGTTTTAAAGAGAATGCATGAAGTTGGTTACATAACTCCCAGAAGCTTTATTAGCGAATTTGGTGCCAGAATAAGGTGAGTTAGTGGTATTCTGACGGCACTGGGCAAATGCATTCAGTGGAAATATCGGCTTTGCTTCGATCTATAATTTATAGACCACAGTTAAATAACAAATTTCAACCCAATAGAAAACTGGGTAAGAGCCTTAGCAGTCATTTCACAAAAGAAGGTAATTATATGTTTTTTAAACATTTAAAGGTACTCAACTATCTTAATCCTTAGAGAAATGCCATAAAGCCCCAACAATGAGCCACTGTGACACACCCAAAAAAAACTGTTAAAATTAACCAGAAAGTACCAAATGTTGATCAAGAGTTAGCAACTGAAGCATATGTTATTAATAGGAATGGATTTGTTATGACCACTTTGGAAAATTCAAAGTTCAAACAACAGGCAAAACCAAACTAGACTTAGGAAATAAAATTACAGAGAAAAGAAAGAATTAACTGGGGGATAGTACTTTGAAGGAAATAAAGGTATGCTCCCAGGGTTTGGGGCCCTGTTCTGTTTCTTGACTTGTATGGGGTTGGTGAGGGGCAGGTCACTCACTTATTGAGCCATAAAGTTGGGAAAGGTGCCTTTTGGTATATTCTGTATTTCATGATTAAAAAGTTTTGATGAGCTAGGCACAGCAGTGCACACCTGTAATCCCAGAGGCCCCGGAGGCTGAGGCAGGAGGATTACGAGTTTAAAGCCAGCCTCAGCAACAGTGAGGTGCAAGCAACTCAGTGAGACCCTGTCTCTAAATAAAATACAAAATAGGGTGGGGATATGGCTCAGTGGTTAAGAGCCCCCGAGTTCAATCCCCAGTACCCCCCCCCAATATTTTGATGAAGTTTTTTTCTAATAAGGAAAAAAATATCTCCTCAGCAATGCTGGATACATGCTACCGGCTATTCCCTCACTGAACCAATTTTTCTATAAATGCATTACCATTATTGTGAAAGATAAGGTAGACCTGAATTTGGGGGATGGCAGTAGGAAGGAGAAAGGAATCAAAAGATACTGCAAAACTTGAAGCAGTATGGCAAAGTGAAAGAGCATAACAGTTGGAAAGAGGGGCAGTGGGTTTTTAGACAAGGCTCTAGCCACTTTTGAAACATGACCTGGGTATGTCTCCTAACTTCTCTTAATTTCATTTTTCTCATCTCTGTGGGCTTGATAAAAACTAACATTTTATTGCCATTTATAACCCTTTGCAAGCTATTAAAATGTAATGTAATTTTATTTATTTATTGTGATACTGTGGATCTAAGCCAGGGCCTCATGCATGACTGGAAGTGCTGTGCCTCTGAGCCACATCCCCAGCCCCCATGTAAAAATTATATTGATGTTTTATTCGATGTAATGGGAAAGGAGTAAAAGATAATTGAGACTTTAAGCCTAAGTGATAGAGATAATAGTAATTTAATGGCATGAATTAAGTGAGAAAACCAAGAGGATGAGGACCAAATTTGGAGAAAGAAAAGAAATATTTTATATGTGTTGAGTTTAAGATGATGCTGGAATGCCAAAGGGGAATTATTAAACAGACACAGAAGCCAACGTTTGATACTCAGGGGAAAGGTCAGAATTGGTGATAGAAAATTAGAAGTTATCCATAGAAGGATAATAATTAAAGCTATGAGAGTGAATGAAAGAATATAGAACAGGTATTGAAGAACAAAGAAAGAAAATGAAGAAAGGGGGGGGATGATTTATTGAGCATCTGCTAAATGGAGTACTAGACAGTCTGCATTTGTTTTCTCATTTATTCCTTTCCGATTCCAAGGTAGCCAATTTTAGCCTCTTTTGGTAGTCTTACTTTGTAAACTCAGCAAGACAATTAAGGAGCATTTAAAACCAGCTTGTGACTCCAGTTTATACTGTTCACCACACCATTCCTGGAGAACCAAGTGTCTGTTACAAAAGACCATGGAGAGAATTTGAGTGCAGGAAAGATAAGCCCTGAGAAAAGACCATTGGATTTTTGTGATCTGTGACTTAAGGAGACACTGGAATATAGTCAGCAGTACCTGTACTCTTCTCCCATCTTTTAAGCTTCTTTGAGTGTAAGTAATCCAGACACATTTGTGTTCTAAACTTCTGGTGATATGAAAAAAAAATCAAAGATAGTGACTGTAAAAATTAGTACATATAAAACAAAGCCAGTTACTAATTTCTAGCTAGATGCTCTTGCCAACCAAGTGCTTTGAATCCAAAGACTGAAAGTGAAGAGAAACAGGAGAAACTTTCTCTGATTCAGTGCTATTTACTGCTTTGTCCATGTACTGCCTAGAACCATTTTGAATGTCACCAGTGGTATGGGTCTTTCTCTTTGGGAAACTCTGGAATGTTATGTAATTTTGTTCACTGTGTATACAGTGCAGTTTTAGTCACCTGAAATTCTACAGGAAAAGGTGAAGATGGTTTTGCTAGTCGAGATCTTTAAAAAGTGGTATGAAGGTAGTTTCTGGTGATGATAAACACATACCTTCTAAAAAGCAGCAGTATCAAGCCAGGCACAATAGCACATGCCTGTTAGTCCCAGTTTCACAAGCTCAAGACTAGCTTGGGCAACATGGTGAGAGAGACCCCACCTAAAAATACCTACAGTGTCTTTTAAATCACTTAAAAATAACTTTATTTTTAAAAAAAAGAAAAGAGAAAGAAAGCACTAATGTTGCCTCAAATTTTAGGGTAATCTATAATCTATGAGAAAGAATTTTCCCTTCTAGGTTTATTAAAACCATTTCTTTACTATAAAAATAGCATTGTAACATTAAGGAAAATTGAAAGAAGAATGTTTCCCCATAATGCAATTACTAGATCCTTCCTATAGTTTTACTGATGAATAATGCATGGTTTGGAGGCGGACAGGCTTCTGAACTACTTTGTTTAACATTGTATGTATGCAGTGCCTGGGCTTGAACCCAAGGTCACACATGTTAGGCACGTGTTCCACCACTGAGCTTTATCTCCAGCCCCTCAAAGCACTTAAAATTGTTTATAGGAGCAAAGGTCTTCTGTCTGTTCTCTGTCCACCTCTCTGAGTTCTAAAAAAGACCCATAGTAAGTCACTGAAATTTTCCCTAGAGGCATCTGGAAACTTTGATTTCCAGGAATTAGACATTTCAATTTTGTATTTTTACACCATGAATTAAGGTAGCATTGAGGTAATTATCCCATATAATTTTTGGTTAATTAGAGCTTCTAGATAATTTAAAAAAAATATTTGAATAGATAATACATTCACAGGTCCAGAAAATTTTTAAATAATCATCACTGTCTTCTGTCCATCCTGTTCCCACCCACTAGGTAACCTACTTTTTCCTCATGACTCTACATATGAGAATAAATATTCTTATTTTTCCTGTTTCTTATACAAAAGGGAGGTTATTGTACATACTTCTGCACTGTACACTTAAGGTACCTGGACATTTCCCTATCAATGTATAGAAGATGACTTCTTTTTCTTACCCCTGCAGATTATTTAACTACTTTCTAATCTTGTATTCTAATTAGTGAATACTAGAACACCCTTGTATTCACATCCTCTTTTCTTACATATTTAGATTTGTTGGATCTCAGTTTCCATAGGTAAAATTGCTCTGCAAAAATGACACAAACGTATTTTTAGTTTGCCTTCCATATACCTAATATTCCTCCACAGCATTGCTCATGGACTAGAAAGTTATCATATTTTCAGATTTTTTACCTACTAGCTTTTGAAGGGCAAAATATTTCAAGTCCTACTTAACGTTTTTAAGATTAATAACAAAATAATTTGTTTAAATTAAGGGAAATGGGATTCAGTTAACAAAATTTGATCAGGATATAGAAATTCTTTGCTGCTACTCCTGCAGTGACACACCCATAACTGGTAAAAACATGATTGCTTATGCAATCAAAATGGCCAGCAAACCTGGAAAGGGGCCAAAAATGACTACAAATAGCTCCACCTACCTTTTTTTTTTTTTCTTGGCAAATTTGCAAGTTTAACAGGATCTAAAAAGATTCTTCAAGCTGGGCACAGTGACACATGCCCATGATTCCAGTTACTTGGGAGATTTGAGATAAGAGGATCACAATTGGAGGCCTTGGCAGCTACTAAGATTGTCAAAAAATAAAAAGGGGTGGGGATATAGCTTAGTTGTAAAGCCCCCCTCCATTCAATCCCCAATATTAAAAAAATGAAAAGATCCTTCAGCTTTCATTTGAATTGCAAATCTGGTAAGTGGCAGGAAATTACTAATTTCATGAAAAATTCCCCTAATATGATGGGAGTTAAAAGTGAGTTTTGATTAAGCTTGTTTTGGTGCTGAGGCAGCACAGGGAGGGAGAAAGTATCTATATAGGGCTGTTGATTCTACCTACAGTTGAAATTACATGAGGGTGTGAAGAAAGTTTTCCAGAAATGATTACTGTTTACTTGGAGCAAAAGTAACTCTGGGTGAGGAAAAGGCTTAGTTGTGTCACACTTGCTAGTTTTTCAGCTTGCCAGAATTTTTTTTGGTGGGGGGAAGGGTATCAGGGATTAACTCGGGGGCACCCAAACACTGAGCCACATCCCCAACCCAGCTCTATTTTTTTATTTTATTTAGAGACAGGGTCTCACTGAGTTGCTTAGTGCCTCACTTTTGCTGAGGCTGTCTTTAAACTCACAATCCTCCTGCCTCAGCCTCTTGAGCTGCTGGGATTACAGGCATGCACCGCCATGCCTGGCTTGCCAGACTTTTAAGATCCATTTCATAAGTCATGGGTTTATAGAGCATCTTAGTCTTTGGAGCCCATCTGATGGTATTTGATATAATTTACCCACTTTGGTCCTACCCAGGGGTGCTCTACCCCCCACTGTTTTTCTTATTGTTGTTGTTGTTTGTTGTTTTGTTTTATTCATGGTACTGGAAATTGAACCCAGGGGTACTTTATTACTGAGCTACATCCTCAACCCTTTTTATTTTTTATTTTGAAACAGGGTCTCACTAAGTTGCTTAGGACCTCACCAAGTTGAGGCTGGCCTCAAATTTGTGCTCCTTCTACCTCAGTCTCCCAACTCACTGGGATTACAGGTGGATGCCACTGTGCTCAGCATACATCTATATCTATATATTTGAACTAAACAAATTGGCTCATATAAAGTGCCTAGAAAGTGTTTGTAGAAGGTAAGAATACAAATACTAGGATATTGTTTTGTTTCATTTTGCTTTGGGTGCTGGGTATCAACTCCAGGGCCTTACACATACTAAACACATGCTCTACCACTGAGCTATACCCCTAATTACTTATTATTTTTCCATTCTCAAGTAATTGTCACTCTCTGGACAACTGTGTTAACACATAGTACCTGATCTTTACAAATGTATGCAGTTGAATACCTCTTGAAAATCATAAGGCTATATCTAGAAAGAACACTTCAGGCTTTTAAAATCATTAGTTTCCAAAGTTTTTTCTGGTTACAGTGGCACACGCTTGTAATCCCAGAAACTCAGAAGCCTGAGGCAGGAGAACTGCAAGTTCAAAGCCAGCCTCAGCCATTTAGCAAGGTTCAAAGAAATTTAGGAAGACCCACTCGCAAAATAAAAAATAAAAAAAGTTGCATATGTGGCTCAGTGGTTAAGTACCCCTAGGTGTACACACACACACACAAAAAAAAAAATCCATGTTTTTGGACTTTTTTTCCTTTTCTTTAATATTGGAAATTGAGCCTGGGGGCACTGTACCACTGAGCTACATCCCTAGCCCTTTTTATTGATTTTTTGAGACAGGGTCTCACTAGGTTGCTGAACTGGCCTCAAATTTGCCATCCTTCTGCCTCAGCCTCCTGGGCAGCTAGGATTGATTACAAGCGTGGAGCCACTAAAACAGGCATTTTGAACTTTTAACTGCTTGTAAGTGTTAACATATTTTGAGATATTTTCTGCAAAAAAAAAATAAAAGAACAATTAAGTGTTATATCTGTTTCAGTTGAAATTAGTTAAAACTACTTTGGTTTTACAAATACCATGATACCTATTGAGATAACTGCTAAATAACTGTAAGCCAATATACAATCAAGGGCATGGTATCAAAAGAACTGTCATTGTAGCTATCTGAAATGATAAGCTGACTTCTGTTTCATTCATTTACTCATTTAAAAAAAATATCCTGTTGACCCTTTCCATTACTTGCTTTTCTCCCTCGACACCCAGTCATCTCTCAGTCAGAAAGCAGCATCATTCACTAATCTAACTTGGTTCAGCTTCAGCCTCAGGTGCATTATCAAGATCATAGATCAAACTGTGGCTGAATTACTAGAAATGTGCACCTATTTGCATGTC